GGCGATAATTATTAGAAGCTGATCTGCTTCCGACAAGGAGTATGTCTTTCTCTGAAACGGTAAAAGCATTAAGTAATCTAAGATCTTTCTTACTGCCTGTTGCACATCATTAATCTGGAATACCGGAAACTGTTAAGCTGCTGTTCTCCAGTAACGATGACAAGCACTGGCAACAAATACTGCTAATATTACTACTCGTACGACCGCGCTTTGTAATAGTAGTAATGCTTGTACCTGCTAGTAGGATTGCAGTTACCTTTAATTGCAAATGGTATTCTTTACATCGTCGCATTCCTTGCGTTATAATAACTATTATGCGTATCGCATTCCACTGCAAGACCATGGCTGCTAGTACTACAGAGTACAACTGTACTAGCATTACTAGTCACACTACTAGTAGTAATGATGATGGTATTACTAGCAATGATACCACTGTGGCATCTGTGAATATTCACTGCTGTTGCTATTTCCCTAAACCAGTTTCACTGCTTAACCCTGAAGGCTGCAAGAAACTAAGCTTGCTTCTTTGCCATGCTATATGGATTGAGCTTTCAGGATTCACTGTTGCAGGATCGATCGTTGAAGTCAGAATGAGCTTCATTTCAGTCAAACCAGCACGCATTGTCATCAGGTTAAAACGACAAGCACTTTTTGGTTGTCAAATGCTCATGGTTGCAGTGTTCGTTGTTTTTACCTGAAGAATACCTTTGTTGTTTAGCCACAACATTGGCTATGACTTCAAGACTTAAACCATATATGAGATTATGCCAATAACCTGTGGATCTTGGCAGTTCGCATCTTACTGGAAAAGTGATGTATGATGTATATTATAATGAAAACAAAAAACAAACCGAACCGGTTTACACGGTGTCATTGTCCCGTCACGTGTGTGTTTTTATTGGCTCTGTAAGCAGGCCACAGTTCCATGGTAGTTTGTAGTACGTACGTGTTTCTCCATAACTGTCATTGACCTCAACTATGCCTTTTAATTTCTAGTTATATATCTGAAGTCGATGCTCATCATGTGCATTGCAAACAGCATCATACAGTTTTATAGCGCTGAGTGTCGGCTTTCGGGATGAATAAAAAAGTTTATTGCAGGAGAATTAATTATAAATTTCAGGTAAGCTGGAAGCAGACGACTAAGCTGATTTGTCAGTGGTTGTTTCTTGGTCATAGGTACCTTTTCTAGTCTACTCTTAAACGGTAACAAGCGTGACTCAGGATAGAAATTTGAACCAGAGATGACCCAGTTGAATACTGTTCTGTGCATCCAGACTATACGACGTTCAGACAACTGGATTTGAGCCGACTGGCCAGTAGGCAGTCAATCTTTTTTTCCATCGGTGGCGTCTGATTCTAAGCGAGTTTCACGAAGCATGGACCTACGGGATTTATTCACGGTTGACTGGGTTTACTGAAGAAGACCTTCGTAGCGTTTCATAGATTCGCTAACTAACCACCGTTGCGTGAAACAGCGACGATAGCTTTCTTGCTAGAAGTTCATTGCTGTGTTTCGTTGTAAATATAACCGGTTTAACATTATCTCGTAAAGACACGCCGCATTAATTGCCTTCATACCTTCGAGACGTGTGACATATTCTTTACGAAATCTATAAATCATTTGAAGTCAGGATTTCGCTACGACAGTTTTACAGCAGTGGTGAAGGGCAGAAACGGGATATCAGTGCGATTTGCAGCTACGCTCCTTGGCACGGACCGGAACATATTCAGCGAAAGTTTTAAGTTTGTTCAGGTTTTTGAAAGTTTACTGTTTGATGAATGAAAAACCGCGCTTTTCCGCATGCAAACGGAGGAAGAACTAACTAATTCATGAGAAGCAGAAAACAACAGTTTTGCATGATTGTCACCATTCAAACATATAGAAATATGGTAATTGGGACATTTGTTGAGCATAATCGGATAATTCTACCTGACTTAGTTGTGGTTGCGAACCATGTGTATTGAAGCGGGGATGATGGATTTTCGATAGTGATTCATTACCGTGTAGGAATCTGCTGTACGACTGACAATACCAGTCTACCGTACCACTACCACATACATAATAATATATACTCATCCCTGGTCTAATATCATCACCTTATGCTGTGACGAAATAGCGACGACAGCGATGGTGTTATGAACCTGAAACCCTGATCTGGCAAGGGAGCAATATCTATGTTAAGACAAACTTCCGTTGTTAAGAGCGCTTGAAAAATCAGTCTTCCTCTACGGCAAGGAAGCCTCGACGCTGTCATGGACATCTGAGAGAAACATCGAGGCGTTGTCGCTGTCACCTGCACACTCCGTCTACAGCATATCAGGCAAACGATGGTGATGGATCAGCAAAAGGCGTCGCTAGTCACAACCGTTCGACGCCGAAATTCATTTAGATCTAGAATGTGGCTCTGAATTTTCACAAAATTCAGAGGTACTGAAGTTGGAAGGGCAATGTGTGTATGTATATATCCTTCATCGTTCTTGCTCCTTCGCTAGATTCGCTGTCTCCGTGTCGAACAACAACACTGATCTGACGGAGGCAAGGTAAGGGACGAATTTTGTGGAAGGTGTTACTCACTTCTCAACGCAAATATTAGACCGGTCGCTGATGACTGTTGTGTTCTTGCTTAACTCTGATTGGATGATGCTGTTGCTGTAGATGATAGATCTGGGTTGTTTAGATTGATCAGTGTGCCCGTTTCAGTTTCAGTTTTTTTGTGGGTGAGTTCCTTGTAGTTTTTGACTCGTAAGCGATGAAGAAGAGACCGACTTTAGCCGTTGTATTGCATTGTGAAGATCGACACTGCTGATCAGAGCAACATCATCTGCGTCTGTCACATCGGCAAGATGTCTGACAGGACATGACCTTCACGTGCATGTTGCATATCCCACCCACCACCCTATGGCTTGCCTTTGACCTTAACTGCGGGCCTGGCCGTTCCCATATCGCTTCTG